GTGGGTTTGATCCCGACCTTGACGCCTGCTGCTGTATATTTGGAGTTTGCGTGTCTCTCTCTCACCATCATCATCACGGTGGCTAGGAGATGTTAACTACCACGCCTGGTGTACAGGAGGTCGTGGGTTCGATCCCGACCCTGACGCCTGCTGCTACTGTATATTTGGAGTTTGCGTGTCTCTCTCTCATCATCATCACTGTGGCTAGGATATGTTAACTACCTCGCCTAGTGTACAGGAGGTCGTGGGTTCGAACCTGACCCTGACGCCTGCTGCTGCTGTATATTTGGAGTTTGCGTGTCTCTCTCTCATCATCATCACTGTGGCTAGGAGATGTTAACTACCTCGCCTGGTGTACAGGAGGTTCGTGGGTTCGATCCCGACCCTGACGCCTGCTGCTGTATATTTGGAGTTTGCGTCTCTCTCTCTCTCCCCGTGGTCGCGTGGATATTTTCTCTCTGGGTCCTCCCGTTTTTCCCTCCACATTTAGAAACATCCGTGTAGATTACTGAGATTAGTTGGCTGATATAAATTTCCTACGTGCAAAGCAACTTCGTTGACCTATCATTTGTGGCAAGGTCGCTTCTGAAAATTAAGCTATCAGCTCGGTGGGCCTTGCCTGGTAAGATAAATAATAATAATTTAGTTGTATTTGTGCATATCTTTAAGTTATTTATTTACCTTTCTGCACTTTGCACTCCTACCGTGTTTTAGTAACTGTTGTTGTTGTAACGCTCTGACCCGGTGCCCCTACTTGGACATCTGCCCATCAAAGAGCTTCATAGCTCATCGGATTCTTCCAGCAAAAGTCAAATATCCTCAGTGCGGTTCTGACCCGCGGTGTCATTGAGCATGGCGGAGGGAAACGTAACCCCCGTGGAGACGGAGCGATTAAATCGGATCGCGTGCGTCTTTGCTGCCCACCGGATGTATCGTAACATCCGCAGAGCTGCGAGGACTTGTGTACAACTTGGACCGGGGGGGGGTAAGGCATTAATCCAGCAGTGTATCGACCGTGGCTGTTACGAACCCCTTCAGAGAGAGACAACCAGGGCATGAACCCAATAACTCGGGAGTACTGGCTGTGGTACTTGTGTCTGACATGGCCATTATGAAACCTCCTACAAGCGAGAGACGTTCGCACTCCACACAACAGCCCCCCCCCCCCCCCCACTACAATGCACGCGAGTGCGTGGGGGCTCACTCGCAGCATTTGCACGCCCAGCTTGTGAATGTTAACAGCGATGGAAACTCACATAAAGGTTCATTTACCCCCCCCCCCCCCCCACCATCTCTCTCTCTCTCACAAACCTTGTCCGTGGCCTTTCCCAGACGTGGGTTGTTTAGTTCTTTTCATTTTCACCCTCCCTCCCCCCTCTCTCCTCACTCTACCCTATCATCTTAAAAAAAATTGAGATGTAATATTGTTTTGTTACCAGTCTAAAGCTCGTTCAATTCGTCCGCACGCCCGCCCGCCTCTGCCACCCTTTCTCCATAAAGTGGCTTCAAACGCACGCGGCCCTCGCCCCTCCGCCCCGTGTCGGTTGTTTAATTCCACAGCCATCGCAGGATTCGAAGCCGGATGATCGCACGGCACTTGCCGACTTCTGTGTAGCCCAGGAGGTGTGGAGGGGGGGGGGGGTGACCACGTGGGGGGGGAGGGGGGTGACCACGGGGGGGGGGGGGGATGGGGGTGACGGACTCTGCTGGGCCGATGAAGTTGAGCGGGCTTGGTTCTAAATCTGAAATTAAGTCGCCCCAGCCGTGATCACTTACAGCCGAGGTTCTCGGTTCTAGCGAGATGAGTGACTCACAGAGGGACGCTTAGACTCACGCAGAGAGACCCTTAGACTCACACAGAGACCCTTAGACTCACACAGAGACTCATAGACTCACGTAGAGACCCATAGACTCACCTAGAGACCCGTACACTCACACAGAGACCCATAGACTCACACAGAGACCCTTGGACTCACACAGAGACCCATAGACTCACGTAGAGACCCATAGACTCACCTAGAGACCCGTAGACTCACACAGACCCAAAGACTCACACAGAGACCCGTGGACTCACACAGAGACCCGTGGACTCACACAGAGACCCACAGACTCACACAGAGACCCACAGGCTCACACAGAGACCCACAGGCTCACACAGAGACCCACAGACTCACACAGAGACCCACAGACTCACACAGAGACCCACAGGCTCACACAGAGACCCATATGTATGTAGACTTGAGCAGGCGTCATCTGGTCCAACCCATGTGAGACTAGGCTCTAAAGAAAGCTGTCTCGGGTGTGGACCAATCAACTTCAAGGACAGTGCATACATTATCAGAGTTGTGTTTTTTGTTTGCATTATGGCTGCAGGTATTGTGGTCGATGCAAACATGACTCCTTGTCAAAAAGGTGGTGTCAGTTTTGTTGCCAGATAGAAGGGTAAACAACAATGATCAAATCCGATGAGTTGTAAAGCTCCTTTTTGTTTTGCACGGATGTCCAGTCGCGGCACAGGGTAACAACAAACAACACAACAACACGGACACGATAGCCGTCATCAACTTATTCAAACTGCAGGCGGAATCCGATGAGTTGTAAAGCTCTTTTTTTAACAAGTGCGCAGTAGGGGCACGGCGTGAGAACGCTTCAACAACAAAGAACACAAAAACACGGTCGCGTAGCGCGAGGGACAAGAAAATGTTCAACAAAAACACGATGGGAATAACAACTAGAAACGTGACGTCACATGAAAATGCGCAATTTTAAATAAATATAGGATTGTTATAACAACACTCCTACAACATCAGAGTGCAGCGCCACACGAAATACGCACTACAATGACAATAGTTTAAAGCGATTTGAAGCGTGTTTTATTTTCAAAATGTAAATATTTTTTTGGGTGGGGGGGTACAGAGCTTTGTGACGTCATATTTGAGGGGGGGGGGGGGTCTGACTTTTGTGACGCCGTGTGACGAGGAGGGAGGGGGGGGGTCAAAAATGGTCCAAAATCGCGTGACGTCATTTATGGACGGCCCCCAGTACAACACAGAGGGGCGTTGGGTTTTCGGTGTTTTTGTGGGAAGGGTTTTTTTTGTTGTTGTTACTCAAATAGTTTCACAACTCTCTCTCCCCCTGGACGCACGCATGCAACAAAAAATGCCACCGTACAGGTGAAGGTTTTTATTTACATCTTTTTTACTTTTGGGGCAAGTGCTGTCCGCGTGGAGCAATGCCTCGTGAAGGCTGGAACGGCACACGAAGGCTGGGTGGGGGTGGGCGGGTCAGATCCATTCACGGCCGCCTTTGTCTCGAGAGTGTCGGCCGTGAGCGGGAAATCGAACCCGTGTCTCCGGGTTCATAGCGCAGCGCGCTAACCACTACACTACCCCTACACACAAATACAACAAAGATCCCCCATATAGCCTTAACAGACTGTAGGGGCAAGTGCTGTTAGCGAGCACCTATGAAGGCCGGAACGGTACACGAGGGGGTGGGTGGCCAGGTTCGTAGCGCTGCGAAGCACGCTCACCGCTGCGCCACCGCTCCCTCCGCGCACTCAACGTCACCGGAACCTTCGAAACGAAATCACGCGAAACCTTTTCGAAGGGACACAAAAGGGCCGATTCGTTTCCCTCTCCTCGGTGGCGTCACTCGGCCCCCGCGTCCGTCGTTACCCTCGTGACGCACGGCGTCAGTCCGCGGTCTGTGTCCATTGCGGAGGGAGGAGGGGAGGGAGGGGGGGAGGTGAGGGAGGGGGGGAGGTGAGGGAGGGGGGAGGTGAGGGAGGGGAGGAGGTGAGGGAGGGGGTGAGGTGAGGTAGGGGGGGAGGTGAGGTAGGGGGGGAGGTGAGGGAGGGGGGGAGGTGAGGGAGGGGGTGAGGTGAGGGAGGGGGTGAGGTGAGGGAGGGGGGGAGGTGAGGGAGGGGGGGAGGTGAGAGAGGGGGGGGAGGTGAGGGAGGGGGGGAGGGATGGAGGGGAGTGAGGGAGGGATGGAGGAAGGGGAGGGAGGGGAGGGAGGGAGGGGAGGGATGGGAGGAGTAGGAGGAGGAGGGAGGAGGAGGGAGGAGGGAGGGTGGGAGGGTGGGAGGGGAGGGATGGAGGGGAGGGAGCGGTGGCGCAGTGGTTAGCGCACTGCCCTGCCGGGTTGGCTTCACCCACGGTCCCAATGAAGTCCGACGCGGCGCCCCGAGTTCCACTCCCCTCTCGTGGCCAACATCGGTGAGCGATATCCAAAACCCGATTCTAGGTCTCCCCTAGGTCGACTCGGCCACAGATGAGTTCCTGGTGCGGTGTGTGAACATCGCCACTAGGGAGACAAAGGCGGCCGGGTGTGGTGCTGGCCACCCACCCCCTCGTGTGCACTGCCGGCCTTCATAGGTGCTCGCTAACCGCACTTGCCCAAAGAGTCTGCTGAGGCTATACGGGAGGAGGGGGGGGGGGGTCCTTTGTCTTCATTGCTGGAAGTGATGATGATGATGACACTATCACTGCTAATGATGATTATCATCATCATAATAATGTCGTGACGTGTATGTACCAGCACTTGCCCCAACAATCTGTCGAAGCATATACGGGGGGAACTTTTGTCTTTGCGCGCGTTGTAAAGAAATACATTTGCAATCTCGACGACGATTTAACAATCGCACGGCTCCAGTGGCTTCCGAATATGGCGAGGAAAAGCTTTGCCGACGGCCGCAGAGGCGCAAATGACGACGACCACGATGATTATACTGATCATGACGATGATTACGATCATCATCATCATCATCACAGTGGCGATCACGTGTTCGAGGCTTATACGCGGGGCGGGGTGCGGATCTTTCTCATTGTGACGTCGCTGCTGCTGCTGCTTCTGCTGGATCATGTGCACGAGTTGGAGAGGGGGGGGGGGAGTTCGCGGAGTGCGATACGAGACGGGGTTTGTGGTCCGGTTACGTCACCGCTAGGATACGGGGGGTGGCGGTGGAGGGGGGGGGAGAGGGGGGGGAGTCTCCGGGTGACACTGCCACAGAGCAACAGGCGGGAACGCAATTTGTGACTACAGCCACCACCATCACTACCATCACTACCACCACCACTACCACCACCACTACCACCACTACCACTACCACCGCCACCACCACCACCATCACCACCACCACCACCACTACCACCACTACCACCACCACCATCACCACCACCATCACCACCATCACTACCACCACCACTACAGCCACCACCACCACCACTACCACCACCACTACCATCACTACACCCACCACGATCACTACCATCACTACAGCCACCACCACTACCACTACCGCCACCACTACCACCACCGCTACTACCACCACCACCACTACCACCACCACTACCACCACCACTACCATCACTACACCCACCACGACCACTACTATCACTACAGCCACCACCACCGCTACCACCACCACCACCGCGAGAACATTAAAGCGCCGTCTCTTGTACTCCCCACGCATTGTGAGTGGCGGGGGGGCATTGCCTCAGCGAGCCGCCCCACGCCAGAGCAAGAGGTGAGTCTCAACTTGTTGTTATTCATTGTCACTGTCTTCTTGTTATTCTATTTACAATGTCTTCTTGTTATTCTATTTACAACGTCTTCTTGTTATTCATTGTCAATGTCTTCTTGTTATTTCATTTCGAACCCGGGCGAACCTCCCCGCCGAGTTCGCGAAAGTGACGATTATCCGAAACGGTCGCGTGGCCTCCCCTAGGTCGACTCGGCCTCAAACGCGTACCCGGGTGCGGTGTGTAAAACCATTGGTAGTGGGGAGACAAAGGCGGCCGGGCGTGGTGCTGGCCACCCACCCCGCTCGTGAGCCGTGCCGGCCTTCACAGGTGCTGCTCGCGAACAGGCAGCAGCACTTGCCCCAACAGTCTGGTGAAGGCTACACGGGGGATCTTTGTCAGTGTGGTGCGTGCGTGCTGGGCAGCGTGTGACACGCCGGGCGATGTTTGCTCACCCTGCACCTTGAACTCCGCTGTCGTTCGAGCGTGGTATGGGGAGCGGTGGCGCAGCGGTTAGCGCACTTGCGCTCCGAGCCCGAGTTCCATCCTCCGCTCACGTTCACCAACGCCGGTGACGATTATCCGAACCGGTCCTGGGCCTCCCCTAGGTCGGCTCGGCCTCAAATGAGTACGTTACGTGGAGCGACCGGGCCTTCATACGCTACCAGCACTTGTCCCAATAGCGTGTTGAAGGCTATTGGGGTGAGGGGGGTCTTTGTCTTTGTGTGGACGTGGATCTGGCCACCCCCCCCCCCCCCGCGTGCCGTGCCGGGCGTCATGAGTGGTGCTGCTACTCACTCACAGCACTTGGCCCCAGCAAGTCTCTTGGAGGCTACACGGGGCATCTTTATCTTTGTGCGTCGCCAGTGAAACCCGCGCACGCGACTTGGTTCGTCTCTCCGCGTGGCACTAAAGACGCCGGCGTTGCGTAAAGGCCCAGGTGTCGCACTGGGTGGGCATTCCACATTCCTATGGCGGGGATATGCCTGCCCGTGACGTGCGTTCCAGACCCGATGTCAAGGGGTGAAGTCGAGGCGATTCGAGAGCTTGCGTGATCTCCTCCACCCATCGCCGGCTCTCTTGGAATGATACTTTTACCGTGCTCGAGATGAGTTTCAGATTCAAAAAAATATTGGGTGTTTCAAGGAAGCATTCGTGTCTCTGTGTGAGTCTATGGCTTTCTATGTGAGTCTAAGGGTATATGTGGGGGTATGTGTCTCTATGTGAGTCCATGGGTCTCTGTGTGAGTCTAAGGGTCTCTTTGTGAGTCTAAGGGTCTCTTTGCGAGTCTATGGGTCTCTTTGCGAGTCTATGGGTCTCTCTGTAAGTCTAAGGGTCTCTGTGTGAGTCTGTGGGTATATGTGTGAGTCCATGGGTCTCTATGGAAGTCTATGGGTCTCTGTGTGAGTCTATGGGTCTCTCTGTAAGTCTAAGGGTCTCTATGGGAGTCTATGGGTCTCTGTGTGAGTCTATGGGTCTCTGTGTGAGTCTATGGGTCTCTGTGTGAGTCTATGGGTCTCTGTGTGAGTCTATGGGTCTCTGTGTGAGTCTATGGGTCTCTGTGTGAGTCTATGGGTCTCTGTGTGAGTCTAAGGGTCTCTATGGAAGTCTATGGGTGTCTGTGTGAGTATTAAGAGCTGATGCTGGGAGGGGGGGAGGTCGCGGCGGGGCGAGCGCGACAACCGCAGCACCGCCACCACCACCGCCGCCGCCGCCGCCGCCGCTTTCATTTCTAAAAATAGTTCCAACAACAACCAGAAGAGACAATCGCGCACGCACGAGACTGTGCAGTGACGCAAAGCGCACAGACACCCTCCCCCCCCCCACTTCCACCCCCCACTTCCACCCACATCCACCCCCCCCCACTTCCACCCACATCCACCCCCCCACTTCCACCCACATCCACGCCCCCCCCCCACTCCCACCCACATCCACCCCCCACTTCCACTCACATCCACCCCCCCCCCACTTCCACCCACATCCACCCCCCCCCACTTCCACCCACATCCACCCCCCCCCCACTCCCACCCACATCCACCCCCCCACTTCCACCCACATCCACCCCCCCCCCACTTCCACCCACATCCACCCCCCCACTTCCACCCACATCCACCCCCCCCCCACTTCCACCCACATCCACCCCCCCACTTCCACCCACATCCACCCCCCCCCCACTCCCACCCACATCCACCCCCCACTTCCACTCACATCCACCCCCCCCCACTTCCACCCACATCCACATCCACCCACCCCTCCCCACATCCACTCACCCCCCCACTTCCACTCACATCCACCCCCCACATCCACCCCCCCCCCCCACATTCAGCAACCCCCACATCCACCCCCCACATCCAGCAACCCCCACATCCACCCACCAACCCACCCACCAACCCACCAACATCCACCCACCAACATCCACCCATCCACCAACCCACCCACATCCACCCACAAACCAACCCACATCCACCCACATCCCCCCACATCCACCCACCCACCAACCCACCCACGTCCACCCACCCACCAACTCGCGAGCTCGTCGCTTGCGGTACCAAGGGCGATTCGTTCGCTCTCATTCTCTATCACCCATCCCAGGCAGAGGAAGGAAGCTGTCCGTAATTAACCCCGGAGGACTGACGCGAGCGAGCGAGCGAGCGAGAGAGGAAGAGAGGAAGAGAGGTAGGGAGGTAGGGAGGGGGGGAGGCTGCACGAACTCCTCTGAAGTTCATCCCAGCCTCGTTTGCTGTCAAATGTTGCTCGTCAACGGAGCCCCCCCCCCACTCCCCCCACACCCCCCCTTTGCGGAGGCAGCGTTGACCCAATTTGAAAAAGGAGCCCCCCCCCCCTCCTCGGTTTTGCGAGCGGTGACCCCACTGCTCTCACCAACTCTGTTCAAGGACGTGTCCACGATGTGGGGGGGCAGGGGCGCCCCCCCTCCCCCACCCCCACCCTCGCTACCCCCCCTGCCCCCACCCCACATCTCCCCCCCCCGCCCCAACCCCCCCCCCCCCCTCTCGTCAGCTGTTTTCACAATTGGTGGATGGTATTTTCAGCGATTGGCACGATATTATTGGTGATCAGAGGTTTGTTTTTGTTTGTTGTTTTTGTTGTTGGGTTAGATCGCGTAACTGTGCTTGTCACGTGAACATCACGTGCCGGTCAGCTGCCACTCCAGCGCACGTTCCGCTGGCGTATTGAAACATTCATGGCAAGTCGCCTGATGAAGCTGGTTGTAATCGCCCGCGAGATGCTGCGTGGAAACTTACCTGCCCTGTAACTCCGTAACGAGGCTCTGGGTCTTCTCGGCCACGGTGGAATATTTTTTTCAAACATATTGTGAAAGTCACACTGTGTGTGATTGACATTGGTGTTGAGTTGGGGTTTTTTTGTTAACTGCTAACGCAGCAGCAGCAGCATCAGCATCACACGACCCTCTGCTTAATTGAGCAATTACGATCTCCCCACGTTTGCTCAACTATAGCGGGTATCGAGTCCCATCGCGATGGTGAACAGCAGCAGCAGCACAGCCTACATTCGTACAGAGACGGAAGCCGTCCCGACATTTAAGTGAGATGCTAAACACCCCCTCCCCTCCCGCCCCGAAAAATCCTAAGTACAGGATGTTTTAAAAAGATGGACCCAATTTCAAAGCAGTATATTTTCACGATGGCAACATGTTACAATTACACAAAAAGTTACGAACGGTTTAATGAGTCATCAAGTTTTACTAACCATTCAATACATGCTCTATGTGCCCTCCACCTGCTGTACGGACAACATCGAGACGAAAGTTGAATTCGTCCCAAACGCCTCTCAAAGTGTCGTCTCCTTCCACTGAAGTCACCGCTGCCGTGATTCTGTTTTAGAGGTCATCCAGATTAGTCGCTAATGGTGGCACAAAAACACCGCGCTCTTTGACGTATCCCCACGAGAAAAAGTCGCAGGGTGCATGTGATGTCTGGGGGTCTTGGGGGCCAAGAATATAGCGCCAAGTCTTGGGGTCACGTACGACCTATCCAACGTTGAGGCAGCGCGTCTTGCGAATGACTGAGGCTAGGGGCTGTTTGTGTGCTGGTAGATGCATCTCGCGGTTATCATTTGAAACTCTATGCCCCGCCCTCTCTATGCCCCTCCCTCTCTATGCCCCGCCCTTTCAAGTGGTAAGAGTTTCGTTCATGGGCGGTTCGTGGTTGCAGAGATATAGCGATTTTAAATCGGGTCCATCTTGAAACACCCGGTATTATTTGTTTCAATTTACAATCATTATCCGAAACTCAGCCCCTACTAATGCGCCCGGTGTACAGGAGGTCGTGGGTTTGATCCCGGCCCTGGTGCATGCACGGGTGGAATTTGCGTCTCTCTCCCCGGGTGGTCGCGTGGACTTGTGAACCGATCCTGGGCCTCCCCTAGGTCGACTCCGAGCGAGTGAGAGCAAGGGAACGAGTTGGTGAGAGTGAGAGAGTGGCCATCACGGTGGCCAGATGTTAACTACCTCGCCTGGTACGCAGCAGGTCGGAGGCTCAATCCCGACCTTGACGCCTGCTGCTGCATATTTTGAGTTTGCGTGTCTCTTCCCGTTGTTGCTTGGACTTTTCTCCGGGACCTACCGGCTTTTCCCTCCGCATGTAGAATCGACTATCACGCCTTTAAGAATAGTTGGCTGCCGTAAATTTCCACGCGATCACGACGTAGTTCGGGTGGGCATTACCGGCGACCTCTGGTGCTGCTGCTGCTGCTGGCCACTGTGACAGGACCATGAACACGTGCAATTACACGCGTTCAGAGCATCCGGCTGCTGCTAGAAATGTCCACGTGATGATGATGATGCTGCTAAGCCCACTTCGTTGAGCATTCATTTGTGATGACCAGGTCGCTTCTGGGAAAAGGAGAGCTGTATATACGTCAGTGGGACTTACCTGGCTTAAATTAAAACAATTGCTAACTTTAAATAGTTTAATCACTAGGTCGTTTTCCTTCCGTAATCTGATTACTGCAATGAATCACCCGGATTCCCAATTCTACCCCCACTTCCACCCCTACCTCCACCCCCACCCCCAACTCCACTCCCACCCCCGCCTCCACCCCTACCCCCACCTCAACCTCCACCTCCACCCACAACTCCACCTCCACCTTCACCTCCACCCCCACCCCGACCCCCACCTCCACCCCGACCCCCACCTCCACCCCAACCCCCACCTCCACCTCCACTCCCACCCCCACCTCCACCCCAACCCCTACCTCCACCCCCAACTCCACCTTCACCCCCACCCCCACCCCCACCCCCCACCTACACCCCCCACCCCCCACCTACACCCCCCACCCCCCACCCTCACCCAGACCCCCGACACCCCCACCCCCACTGAATTTGAACCTTCCGTTGACCGCGTGAGTTTGTCAGCCTTCCGAGAGATAGAGAGCGGAGGGGGCGTTTGAGGGTAATGACCGCGGCCGTGGGCAGGCAGGCGGACAGGCAGGCAGGCAGGCGGGCAGGCGGGTTTATTCCGGTCCACCCAGGTTCCTGGCTCGCAATGACCTGCTCGGCTTGCCCTCTGCAAACACGCAAGTCCATCGGCTCGTTTGCACTGTGAAAGAAAACTTAACTTGGAACTTTTATTTTTATTTCACCGAGTAAGGCCCCCCAACTGAGCTACACAGCTCTTTATTCAGAAGCGACCTGGCCACCAATGACAGCTCAACGAAGCGGGCTCATCATCATCATCACGTGGAAATGTATAGCAGTCGCCAAATACTCGAATCGTGATTTTAAATGTGGAGGACCCGGAGAAAAGTCCGCGCGACCACGGGGAGAACATGCGAATTCCAAACATACATGCGACTCTAATCTATTTTAATATATTTATATTTTAGCAGGTAAGGCTCCAATGATCTCTATCGCTTTTTTTTTCAGAAGCCACCTGGCAATCACAGATGATAGCCCAACGAAGTGGCTTATCGCGTGGAAATTGTTGATTCTGAATGTGGAGGAAAAAACACGTGAGAATAATTCCTGTATAGCAGGCGAGGTAATCAACGTCTCGCCACCGTGATGATTATGAGAATGAGACACGCAAACTACAAATACACAGCAGCAGGCGTCAAGGTTGGGATCGAACCCACGACCTCCTGCATACCCGGCGAGGTAGTTAACATCTCCTAGCCACCGTGCCCACCCCTAGGTCCAGTTTGAGGGGTGGGATAATACATGCGAAACGAAATACATAAATAAATAGATCTACACCCGGCCTGTCCGACAATGCAAACCAGACGCTGAATGTCGAAACCGGGTCCCCAAAGCTGCTTGGTTTTTTGCTCGTGTTGAACCCAACGCTGCTGAAATATTTCACACCCAGAAGTCCACGCGCGCGCGCACGTGTGTGTGTGGCTGATGCGATGTGTAGAGGATACACTTGGGATGTTTACGCAGAAACGCGTCGCCTGATTGTCTGCTTGTTCGATGTTCAGGGCTAGCGGGGAACAAAGCAGAGTGAAATAAAATAATTTGAATACATATGCAAACTTTTTCCGATTTTAAATTGTACAAAGTACATGGCAATAAATTTCGATTTAAAGCTTTCGTGACTGCAGGGATTCATCTTCTTGGTTCTTTCGGAAAAGTCACGTAGAAGGAAAATAATAAAATAATAAAAATAAAACATAATAAAATAATATAATGTTTTATTTTTATTATTTTATTATTTTCCTTCTACGTGACTTTACCGAAAGAACCAAGAAGATACATGGCAATAGTGTCATCATATCGTTACTCCATCATCATCAACATCATCGTCGTAAACATCATCAGCAGCAGCAGCATCATCGTCATCATCATCATCGGCCATGATCTATCCACTGTTGCATGAAGCCCTCTTAGAGACGCTGTCATCACCCCACGCAGTCTCGTTGGACAATATCACCGTGGAAATTCTGGCGTTGATTCTTATCATTCTGGCATCATCGTTGTTATTATTATTATTGTTATCGCGTTGTTATCATCTTCTCGCGCCTCACAATCTCCTCCTGAAACGCACGGCCAAGTGCTGGCGTGCTCGAGAGATAACGATGGCATCCCGGCAACGTTGGGCGACCGCTGGAATGTGGTTGGCCCAACACTTGGTGCCCAAAGTTCCACGTTTGGTGCGATGCGAGTTGGTGACGGGAGCGAGCGAGCGTGTGTAGCGGTGAGCGCGCTGCGCTACAAACCCACCCGAGTTCGATTCCCGCTCGCGGCCACCACCAACACCACCAAGTGACGATTGTCTGAACCTGTCTTGGGACTCCCCTAGGTCGCCTCAGCCTCAAATGACTACCTGGTGCGCTGCGTAAAAACATCGCCGCTACGGGGAGACAAAGGCGGCCGGGCGTGGTGCTGGCCACCCACCCCCTTGTGTGTCACAGTGCCGGCCTTCATAGGCGCTCGCTAACAGCACTTGCCCCAACAGTTTGCTGAGGCTATACGGGGGATCTTTGTCTTTGTAGAGGTTCACACGCTGCTACCACCACCACGTGACGATTGTCTGAACCTGTCCTGGGACTCCCTTAGGTCGACTCGGCCTCAAATGACTACCTGGTGCGGTGCGTAAAAACATCGCCGCTACGGCGAGACAAAGGCGGTCGGGCGTGGTGCTGGCCACCCACCCCCTCGTGTGCCGTGCCGGCCTTCATAGGCAAGCAGTGCTACTCGCTAACAGCACTTGCCCCAACAGTCTGTTTAAAAGCGAGACTGGGGTGGGAGGGTGAAGGCATGGCTGTTCAGAATCCACTTTGTACTCTGGGTGCTTGAATAATAATAATAATTTTTGTAAAAGGTTTCACGTTGGGGGGGAGGTATTTGTCATTGTAGATTGGCATGGGCAGGTGCGCACACAGTGGTTACGCGTCTAATGTGATAATTGGTTTGCCCGGTAGTGGATCGGGTAAGGCGGCGTTCATTGTTCCACCACCGCCCCCACCGCCACTCATCTCCCCTGCACCGCCCCCCCCCCCCCATGGAGTTGTTCATCCAGGGCCAGCAGTCTCGCGTGTCAAGAGGATTTGCGCTGTGTTGGTTCACCTGGAACGGCGTGAACGCACGCGGTGGCGGCGGCGGTGGTGATGGTGGTGGCGGTGGTGATGGTGGCGGCGGTGGGGATGGTGGCGGCGGTGGTGGTGGTAGAAGTGATGGTGCTGGTAGAAGTGATGGTGCTGGTAGAAGTGATGGTGCTGGTAGAAGTGATGGTGCTGGTAGAAGTGATGGTGCTGGTAGAAGTGATGGTGCTGGTAGAAGTGATGGTGCTGGTAGAAGTGATGGTGCTGGTAGAAGTGATGGTGCTGGTAGAAGTGATGGTGCTGGTAGAGGTGATGGTGCTGGTAGAGGTGATGGTGCTGGTAGAGGTGGTGGCGGTGGTGGTGGTGGTGGCGGCGGTGGTGGTGGTAGCGGTTAGCGGGCGCTTTGCTACGAACCCCGGCGAGCTGAGTGTGTGAACACCAGCGTTGGGAGACAAAGGCGGTCGGGCGTGGTGCTGGCCTCCCCCTACCCACTCTGTGTCCCGTGCCGGCCTTCATAGGCGCTGCTACTCACTAACACCACTTGCCCTCCAACAGGCGGTGGTGGTGGTGGCGGCGGTGGTAGCGGTAGCGGTGGTGCTGCTGATGCACTCCACGGTATCTCGAATACAGAATTAGACACCGCAGGCAGCTGACGATGCAGCGGCTGCTGCTCCCGCGATCCGGACACGTGGCACGGCCTCGGAGATGAACAATGCCGCCCCCCCCCCCCCGGTCCACACCACCCCGGTCGCCCCCCCACCGCCCCCCAAATCGCGTGTTACGTCTGTGTGCTCACAACAGTCGGTATGTTTGTGTTCATCGTAAAATTGCCGTATTACGAATTCTATGTACATGTGTGTCAAAGGCAAACGTGTATAAGCTCAATAGAGAGCAGTTTGTTTTCCATGGAAGTATTATTTTATACGTGTGTGTGTGTGTGTGTTTCTGTGTGTGTGTGTGTTTCTGTGTGTGTGTGATGGGGAGCGGTGGTGTAGCGGTTAGCGCGCTGCGCTACGAACCTGGCGACCCGGGTTCGATTCCCGCTGACGGCCAACACCGGTGACGATTATCAGAACCGGTTCTGGGCCTACTCTAGGTCGACTCAGCCTTAAATGAGTACCTGGTGCGATGTATAAACATCGGTACTAGGGAGACAAAGGCGGCCGGGCGTGGTGTTGGCCACCCACCCCCTCGTGTGCCGTGCCGGCTCGCTAACAGCACTTGCCCCTACAGTCTGTTAAGGCTACACGGGGGATCTTTGTCTTTGTGTGATGGGGAGCGGTGGTGTGGCGGTTAGCGCGCTGCAGCTACACGTGCTGCAGCTACACGTGCGGCAGCTACACGTGCGGCAGCTACACGTGCGGCAGCTACACGTGCGGCAGCTACACGTGCGGCAGCTACACGTGCGGCAGCTACACGTGCGGCAGCTACACGTGCGGCAGCTACACGTGCGGCAGCTACTTTTGCTTCTAGGATCATCCGGCACTGGCGCTAACCGTTGCGCCACCGCTCCGCCGTACGCGAACACACGCGTGCAGTGGAAAGCCGGGTAAGCCTCCGCACAGCAGTGGCGATGTTGGTATAGTTGTGTGCACACAACCCATGTGTCACGTGAATGAAATCCGGCTGAGCTGTCCAGCCCAGCTCTTGCACCTTTTGCAAATATAATCTAATGCCGTGTTCATACGGGGGGAGCGGGTGTGGTCGCGTGGAATTCTGTGCCCAGGTGCTCCGGTTTCCCCCCCACCCACCCATCCACATCAATTTAGAATCAGCATGCATTAAGATTATTTAAGATTATTTTTGCCGCTCTGAATTTCCTCACGGTAAGCCGCCTTTGTTGAGCTATCGCCTGTCGTCAGGTAGCTTCTGACAAGTAAGTTGCTACCTCGGTGGGGATCTCTGCCTTGGGTGGCATTGGGGTTTGGTGGCTTCGTGTGGAATTTTGTACGCGTGTGTGGGTCATTCGTCTACTACGCGATCGTGTTTTTGTGTTCCTTGTTGTTGTAGCGTTCTTACGCCTCTTCTTGGTTCTTTCGGTAAAGTCACGTAGAATGGAAACAATAAAAATATTAAAATAAAACATAATAAAATAATTCTCACGACGTTTCGGCCACAACGCAAGCAGCCGTCATGATGACGTCATGATGACGGCTGCTTGCGTTGTGGCCGAAACGTCGTGAGAATTATTTGATTATGTTTTATTTTATTATTGGTATTGTTTCCATTCTACGTGACTTTACCGAAAGAACACAGAAGATGAATCCCTACAGTCACGAAAGCTTGAAATCGTTCTTACGCCGTGCCCCTACTGCGCATCAGTGAAAAACAAGAGCTTCACATCTCATCGGATTCCGCTTGCAGTATGAATAAATTGATGGCGAGCGAGTAACATGTTACACAGAAAAAAACCTAAGAATATGTTACACGTGGACAAGCCCCTGATTACCCCCTTGCTCCTTCTCTCTCTCTCCCGGTCACCGGAGACTTCACATTCTCACACCTCCGTAATCACCGTCACCGTTCCGTTTCGCGACGGGCTTGGTGGCACTACGAACCATGAGCGCGGTGTGGCTGAGCGGGGTGATGTCTTGAAACGCACCAGGCCGCCCGTCCCCTGATCCCACAGCTCAGTGGGGACATTTGCACGGTAGGATGGGGATGAATCTTGATTTGAAGCTTTCGTGACTTGCAGGAATCCATACTCTTTGGTTCTTTCGGTAAAGTCACGTGTGTAGAAATAAAATAATAATGTAAAACAAATCACAAAGTTTCGATCGCAACACGAACAAATGCTGAAGCATTTTTGCCTTGCTGTGGTTGTCCCACCTGATGATGATTGTTTGTGTTGCGATCGAAACGTCGTGATTTGTTTTATTTTATTTTATTATTTTATTTCTACCTACGCGACTTTACCGAAAGAACCAACGAGTATGGATGAGGATGTTTTAGTTTTGTGTTTGTATGTGTTTACCTTCTTGTACTTTGCACTTACTACCGTGTTTTTGTTACTTTCTGACCCCGTGGACATCTGTGGAGGGCGGAAAGAGCTTTAGAGCTCATCGGATTCCTCCTGCAGTAGAAATAAACAATCGGATCCACTGGCCAGAGCGGTGAGGCCGCAAGTCCAGCAGTGGATTGGCGCGGTGCAAAATAAATCGAGCGAATCAACGGCAGCTAACTTGACCTGGCGACGGTCGAACCAGGCAGGAGAGAGGTTCAACACCTGCTGACGCATCGCTCGCCCACTGTTGTGCACTGCGTGGCAGAGGTCGCAACCGGGTACCCGATACCCGTACCCTACCCGATACCCGGCTACCCGTACCCGGCCGGGTACGGCCCGTACGGGTACGGGTACCCGTTTGCGACCCTGGTGCGGTCGGGTACGGGTACGGGTAGGCCGTGAGTCACTGGTGAGTAACCGTTTGTCACTCATTTCCCAACGTCTTGTCTCTTCTCACAATTCAAGTGCCTAGAATCAACCCACCCGCGCCTGCAACATGGCTTCATCCCAGAGGTCGCAATCAGGTACCCTGCCGGGTACGGGTACCCGTTTGCGACCCTGGTGCGGCCGGGTACGGGTAAGGAATCAAAACGCGTTTGCGACCTCTGGTGCATGGACATCAGCGTGGGGAGACAAAGGCGGCCGGGCGTCGGTCCTGGCCACCAGCCCGCTTTTGGTGCTACTCGCTCACAGCACTTGGCCCCAACAGTCTGTTGAAGGCTACACGGGGGATCTTTGTCTTTGTGTGTGTGTATGTTGTTTGACTGTGTGTGTGCGCGTGTGTGTGGTCGTGCCACACACACACACAGGGGTACGGTGGTGCAGTGGTTAGCGCGCTGCGCTACGAACCCGGGGACACGAGTTCGATTCCCGCTCACGGCAAACACCGGTGACGATTGTCTGAACCGGTCCTGGGCCTCCCCTAGGTCGACTCAGCCTCAAATGAGTACCTGGTGCTATGTCAAAAAAAAAACATTGCCACTAGGGACACAAAGGCGGCCGGGCGTGGTGTTGGCCACCCACCCTTTCGTGTGCCGTGCCGGCCTTCATAGGTGCTCGCTAACAGCACTTGCCCCTACAGTTTGTTAAGGCTATACGGGGGATCTATTTTTCGTGCGGTAGTGCAGCGGATTATCGTGCCGCGCTACGAACCCGGCCACCCGAGTTCGATTCCCGCTCACGGCCAACACAAAACCGCGTCAACCCACACGCTTTACCCCGTATTCTTCTTGCACAGGGAAATTGACTTTTCAGGTCCATACGGCGCACAGCCGTTTTAATACGGGCACAATAACAATAATAATGTTGTCTATCTGTCTGTGTTCCTCCCTTGTGATGGGACTCTCTGCAGGATGAACGTTGAGATGTATAAGGGGCACGGGGTGACCAATAAGATCTGACTTGGTCTGTGATAAGGTAGGGGCACTGATAAGGGGTTGACAGCTGATGCAACAGCGTCACCGGTGACGATTATTTCAACAGGTCCTGGGCCTCCCCTAGGTCGACTCGGCCTCAAACGATTACCTGGCGCGCGGTGCGCAGTAAACATCGCCGTGAGCGAGACAAAGGCGGCCGGGCGTGGTGTTGCCCCCCGCCCCACCACCTCGCGTGACGCGACAGCACTTACCCCAGACAGTCTGTGAAGGCTATACGGGGCAGCTTTGTCACCCTATGCCTTTGCATTGCGCGTGTGTGTGCGTGTTGTAATTACCTGTTAGCATGAGGTGTTAAGTGGTTGCCGGGAAACTAATGATGCAGTAATGCACACTGCATGTTAAACCCTGCGCATTGCAGCCTCGCTCGCCCGCCGTAGATATTTAAACATTCCCAGGCCTCGAGTTTAATGCCTTTTTATTTATTCTGCACACCAAACACAAAGGTCCCCCGTGTAGCCTCGACAGCCTGTTGGGGGAGAGTGCTGTTAACGAGTTAGCACCTACTCGGGTGGCTGGGTGGGTGGCCAGCGCCACGCCTAGCCGCCTTTGTCTCCCTCGTGGCGGTGACGTCACCACAGCGCGTGTGCCAGGCTATGTGCACGTTAAGGCCACGTGAAGTGTCTCACACCCACTGGCAGGAGGTCACGGGACAGACCCAGTTGCCATGGGTCGACTGAGATGACTGGCAGATGCACAACCTGTGCCACCTACTGCGCCCACTCGCTGTGTTTATCCACCCGGCGCTCCGCTCGTTGTTGTGAGCGTCGCTCCCCTCTGCCCCCCGTTGTTGCTGGAGGGCGACTGGCTCCAACTGCCCAGTAGCGTCTTTCACGAGCCTCTCCATGCACAAAGATCTCCCGTATAGCCTCAACAGACTGTAGGGGCAAGTGCTGTTAGCGAACACCTATGAAGGCCGCAACGGCACACGAGGGGGTGGGTGGCCAGCACCACGCCCGACCGCCTTTGTCTCCCTAGTGGCGATGTTTACACATCGCACCAGGTACTCATTTGAGGCTGAGTCGACCTAGGGGAGGCCCAGGACCGGTTCAGATAATCGTCACTGGCGTTGGCCGTGAGCGGGAATCGAACCCGGGTCACCGGGTTCATAGCGCAGCGTAGCGCTAACCGCTGTACCACCGCTCCCCACAGTTCATGTCGTTTTGCCATTCCTCCTCCTCTGATGAAGGATCGTAGACCTGGCCACAGTGGGTTTACTGTGCGGTCCTTAGTGTGGACTGTGTATCTCTGTGGGCCTCTGTGTATCTCTTTGTGTCTCTATGGGTTGACTGTGCGTTCCATAGCTTGGGTTGTATGGCCACTGTAACTCGTGTCTCTTTGGTGTATCTCCGTATTTCTCCATGGGTCCCTATGTATCTCTCTGTGTATCTGTATGTCTACGCATCTCTTTGAGTCTCTCTAGTGTGCGTCCTCTATGGGTTTATTGTACAGTCCACAGTTGCCGTTATATGGCCACAGTCGTGCCACTGTGGCTTGTGGCTTTAATGCATCTCTATGGGTCTCGATGTATCTCTATGGGTCTCCGCGTTTCTTTATGGGTTTTTGCTGTTTGGTCCATTGTTTGGTTTTCATGGCCACAATCGCACTCCTGTGGCCCGTGGCTTCAATTTGCCCTGAGCGGAATAAGTAAATTTTAACAAAAGTAAATAAATAACTGCGGTTTTGTTATTTGCGATAATATCTCATACATACTTGGGCCCTTAGCTCCTGCGGCAGAATCAGCAGCCAGGCTCATGAAGGGTGGTCACCCATCCAATCGCTATCCAGGCTTGTTTTTTTCCTGCTTAGCTTTCTGAGAGCTACTGATATCGGGTGGAGTCAGGGTGACTTTTTGCAATAGGTTTGAATATATATGACTACAATGTACAGTTTGTATGTACAGTAAGGTCTCAGAGTACATGGGCTCAGAGTACATGGACCCGCTCATACGTGACCGACCCCGATTCATCCTTACACTTTTTGTGACTCGTACGGATTTGACGGCGTGTAACTATCGCCCGCGCAAGAAACGAGTCCAAAATCTCTCGTGTTCTCTCCGACCTGGATGCTACCGATGATTAGTGAATCATTTACTATACAGTACTGTACTTTATTGAGCATGCATGTACATTTATCTACATTTTATATACACTCTAACATTTTATATACACACTCGAATAGGCGAACCCCAACTTACGCGAATCCACGCTCACGCAGGGGTACACGGAAGCTAACCCATGCCGCATACTCTGAGACCTGACTGTATGTAATTGTACGCCTTAAAGATGCTGCACCATTGGCTGTTGCAGTGGTCAACAGCGCCACCAGACTTGGCAATCCAGAGGTCACCGGTAAAGCCCACTGAGCTATGTAGCGCGGGGCCCTTGAAAGTGCGGGACCCGTAGCTACTACTGGTCGCGTGGAATTACTCTCTCAAATTATAGCTCAACAAAGTGGCTCGTCATCGTGTGAAAATGTACAGCAGCAGCGAAATACTCTGAATGCACGTTCATTCTAAATGCGGAGGGGGAAACTGGAAGATCTGGAGAAAAAATCCACGCGACCACAGGGAGAGCAACATGCAAACGCCAAATATACAACAGGCGTCAGGGTCAGGATCGAACCAACGACATCCTGCATACCAGGCGAGAGAGTTAACATCTCTCCACTGCACCACCCATACCATGTGTCGCGCGTATGCAATTACGTGTGCTAACCATTTGCTTGTCTGTGTGCACACATGCACACATATGCGTGTGCTGATGCAGATTTCACAACCACCGTGGCTTCTTGTACTTGGACTCCCGTACCGGCGGCGCCACCCCTTCTCCACGTCCTCGTCATCTGCGCCGTTGCCCCCGCTAGGCCCCGCTAGCCCCGCCGCCCTCTACGGCGGAGGGCGGTAGCGGGCGGGATGTCGCGCCCCGCGATGCGTGTGGCGCTCTGCGTCTTCGCCGGAGTCGCCATCATCGCCTCCTCCGCTGCCGCCACCGCCACCGCCTCCTTCCCCGATGACGCGACGCCCATCAACATCGTTGACGCCAAATGTGAGTATTCGCAACGTGTAGAGACGCGGCGACCGAAGCCTTGCGTAGGCCGAGAGACACATCGATGCCTTGCGTAGCCCGAGATAGATGGCAAAGCCTTGCGTAGGCTGAGTGACACGATGAAGCCCTACTTAGGCTGATAGACGCAACAAAGCCTTACATAGGCCGAGAGACACGACGTAGCCTTGAGTAGGCCAAAAGAGACGACAAAGCCGTATGTAGGCCAAGAGACACGACAAAGCCTTACATAGGCTGAGAGACACAGTGAAGAGGTGTGTAGGCTAAGAGACACGACGGAAGGTTCCCATTTTGCGAGAGACACGAAAAGCCTCACGTAGGCCGAGAGAAACGACGAAGCCTTGTGTAGGCTGACTAGCGGATAGGTCCATAGCGAGTAGACTGAGTCAGTTTTTCACCTGGTGCTCAAGATTCACCGTCGATGTCGTTTGGGTTGGGCCATGTAACGATTCGGACAAATTTGTGTCGTGAGACCCTCCACCACCTCACACGGCCAAAAAAATAAAATAGTCTACATGTACAAGAGTTGAATGGCGACACGCAAGGTAATTTAGTGTTTCAACCCAGTCACCGGTGAGTTGAAGATGGTAACAACCAAAATTTAGCATTTGTTAAATAACCTCCACAAAAATCAACGGCTGATAAAAGTCACTTGAAGGCCCTTGAATGAGAGTCACTGGCAGAAGTTCTGTGATATCTCCTTCCACGGACCATTCCCTGCCGAGAACATCTGGCAGCTCACCAGCATTGATTCAAGTGAGCCTGACTCTGCTGATGAGGCACTCTGCATCGAACCGGTCCTGAGTTTTCCTTGCTTATACTGAATCAATGCTGCTAAAATGACACACTCCCAGAAGGCCATGAGTTGTGTGAAAAGTACTTTTCCTTTCTCCTTGGAGAGACCGATACATGGAGATGATGTATCATCTGTTTTGCTACTTGCTCCGCAAAGACCCACAATAAATGATTCTGTGTTCTCTGGCAATGAACGCATGCCAATGGGTCGATGTTGTGTGAGAATTCCAAATGGATCCTTCATCTCATGGCGTGATGCCGATGGCACAAATTGTAATGAAAAATCTCGGGCAAAACACCGAAGTGTTAGTTGCTAATTTTGCATATTTTACAATGGCAAACATCTGGAACATAAACGCACAGCATCAATCTGGCAGTTTGTGAATATACCCCCCCGTGCATTATTTGCTTTCATCTTGGGCAAATAACCGTCGGCTGAAATCTTCACGAATTGTTTATCCAGCCGCGCCCTGCTCTTGGCTTTCCCCGTACGTGGGGTAATCGCGATGCCATTTATTCAGAATCTCACGCTCGGCCAAGCGTAGTTTGGACGACAAGGCATCGCACGGCTCTTAGGTTCCGCAGCCCGTATGAAGTGACTGAGATCAACCCCTATCTACGATTAGCGCGGTGGCCTGCGCACGGTGCGAATGAAACTCAACATACACAGATACGTTATCGCAGAGCGGAGGTGGGTGGGGGCGGGAGGTGGGGGCGAAAAATCCAGACGGCCGATCTTGCGTTGGGTTCCATTCCCTCGTGAACGCCGGGCAGCAAGCGTCACGGTCCGGCCCGGGCAGTGGTTAGCGCCGGGGGTCTGCAACCAAAATAACAAGAAGAGCCGTTGTTTTTTTTTTTCGATTCGTTAGAATAACTTCAATATTTCAAAAGCCGCAAAGCAAGTGGTGAATATGAGATGGCGGTCCTTGATAAATGATGGTCACGAAACGGTCCTGGATGAGCCCGCGTGCGGCTTCGGAGCCGCAGGTTGGCAATCCTTGAGTTACAAATCACGAACTTTGAACCAGGTGCACTTAGACAATTCTATTCCCTTTGCCCCCTTCCCCAACTGCTACTGACCAGCGTGGTGAAGTATGGTCATACCACACCCCCCCCCCCCCCCCCCGCATGACCTGTGGGAGAGGCCCCCAATCCAGCAGCGGGTTGACATGGTTGGAAATTAAATCGAGCCATCAACACTCTTTGGTTCTTTCGGTAAAGTCACGTAGGTGAAAAATAATAATAATCAATAAAAAATAAACTCACGACGTTTTGGGTGCAACACAAGCGCCCGGAACGTCGTGAGTTTATTTTTTATTAATTATATTAATTTTTATGGTTTTATTTTTCTACCTACGTGACTTCACCGAAAGAATCAAAGAGTATGGATTCTTGCAGTCACGAAAACTTCAAATCTAGAACGAGCCATCAACGGCAGTAGTCGACCTAGGGAAGGGTCAACACTGTTGTGAGCACCAGGTGCTGGTATTTGAACATCAGCGTGGGGCGACAAAGGCGGCGGTGCTGGCCACCCACCCACCCACCCACTGTGTGGCACGGTGGCGAGATGTTCACGCCCTCGCCTGGTATGCAGGAGGTCTTGGGTTCCATCTCGACCCTGACGCCTGCATATTCGGAGTCTGCGTGTCTATCTCTCAATCTCCCCGTGGTCGCTTGCATTTTTCTCCCGGTCCTCCGGTTCTTCCCCTCCACATTTAGAATCAACATTTTTTTTGAGTATTTGGCTGCTATATATTTCCACACGATGATGAGCCACTTCGTTGAGCTGTTATTTGCGATGGACAGGTCGCTTCTGAAAAATAGCTACATAGCTCAGCGGGCCTAACCTGGTAACATAAAAATATCTCATCATGGGACCTCCTTTGCCAGTACCAAAATATACTAATAGGGTTTTCCCCCTTTTTTCTGGCAACAAAACTGACACCTTTTGCAAGGAATCATGCTTACATTAACCACAATACTTGCAGTCAAATGCAAACAAAAAACAATACTCTGATAATTTATGCATTGTCTTTGAAACTGATTGGTCCACACCCGAGACAGCTTTCTTTAGAGCCTCGTCTCATATGGTGTTCGACCAGATGACGCCAAAAGGCGCACAGTTCAAAAACAACGCACTATCAGAGTAATGAGAGCTCGGGGTGAGCAGCTACATCATGGGACCTCCTTTGCCAGTCCCAAAATATACTAATAGGGTTTTTCCCCTTTTTTCTGGCAACAAAACTGACACCTTTTGCAAGGAATCATGCTTACATTAACCACAATACTTGCAGTCAAATGCATTGTTTGCATTTGAAAAAAATGGGAAAACCCTATTAGTATTAACATAAAAATAGTTTCGTTTATAGTTTAGTGTGCTGTGTCGGCACAGAGCCCCTTCCTGACAGTTTTCAGCAGCCGTTGTGCTCAGTCAACACGCAGGGTGAGCTCTCACAGTCCCCGCGGGCATCGCCACATGTGGCTGGCTTTACCTGGCCCCCCTTTTTACGCAGGTAACACATCAATCCTCTGCTGGAAGAAGATAAAGATCTCCCTTACACAAGTCGTGTCTGTCATCGGGGGTTGCATTTTCGTACTCCGCCATACCGATGAGCACTTTTTAGATGACTCCGCCTATTATGTGGTCAACATGTCCTTTCGAGGACCTCTCTCACAGCCTCATCATCATTATCACAAGCATCTGGCTATAGCTCTTCCCCTTGATACTCTACCCCTGTGTGACACTCCCATGCCCGGCTCAGTTACCTGGCCTCCTCCTCCACCATGCACACCACGTGTCCCACTCATTATCAACAACCTCTTCTTCGTGTTTTAGAACGGCCCACGGATGCAGATATTACAGAGCTACCTCTGAGATCCCTGTATCTTCAAGTGACGCTCTGGTCCACACAGAACTACCTACGGAAGTTGATTACACAGAACTACCTCTGAGATCTTCTTAAAGTGACGCTCTGGTCCACACAGTAGCGAGCAGAACTTTTTCACCCACCCCAACCTGCCCCAGAGAGTGACGTTCATCGCATAACAGTCACTAAATACTCTTTTTTTTATTCTCATGATTTGGAATGGTGGTGTTTAGTTGTTGTTGTTGTTGTATGTGCAGTCATTAACCCCTCGCTGTACGCGAGAACCCCAGCTGAAGTGCAGGCCGTCGCTGAAACCTTGGCATCGAACCCAGGGTCTCAGAGCTGCCGGCTCATCGCTCTGACCTCTGTCCTCTGAGCCAACGGGCCTCCATCCCAGAGGCTTTCTTGTCTGTTCGCCAGGTTAAAGTTCAGCTCTCTGACTCACAGGGGTGGCTATCTCTTATCGCTAGAAGGTGCCATTTGACGCCAAGACTTTGTTTTTATCACGTTACATTTTATCTCCATGGCCGGCGCTTTCGCGACTTTGGCTTTCTCCCCGCTCAATTTAGCCCGCGGTGGCTGGGACATAATCCACCGTCTGTACGTCTGCGTATGTTGAACTTTTTCACCGTGTTAATCGGAGGTGCGGGGGAAAGACAACAAAGTGAACACAAAAAAAGAAATTATAAAGAAATGGATTTGTCAATGTATACGATGATCATTTAAAAGTGCATAGCTCCCGGTGGATTCATAATATCATCAGAAAGAGCGTTCCAGACGGCCGGAGAAGCGCATCTGAACGTGCACTATGCGGTAACCATTTCTGTTCGATGGCTAGGTTAAAAGCCGCTGCTGCTGCGAGGATGAGCGGAGTTTGCTTGATGATGGTTAATGTTCCTTGACGAGTTCAGCGAGGTATAGTGGTTCACTTGTGAGATCTTCCGTAAAAAAAAAGAAAAAACATGCACATTCCTCTGGAGGGGAACCAGGCTCTCCTTGTAAAAGCACCAGCTGCAATACATCAATAATAACGCTACGTAATAATCTCCTACACTAACAAGCAATCGAGGAATAAGATCACATGTCGCCATTTGTAAATCAGCAATCCACCACATCAACCCTGAATGCGTCCAACGTTGGTCAGATCTCGGAAAGCTGAGTGGGGGCTCGGCGGATAGGGTTTGTCTGCGAGGAAGCCCTCATCCAGCAGTGGATTGACCGCGGGGCTTTACCTGTGCATGCGAGTGGGGTGGGCTGCGTGTGCATGTCTGTCGTGGCGGGGGCAGCAGTGGGGCAGGGATCAGCTCGCCCTGCGCCGCCGCGAGTTGAACTCCCCCGCTCGCGGCCAATAACGGCGGCAAATATCGAGGACCGGTCCTGGGCCTCCCCTAGGTCGACTCAGCCTCAAGTTCCTAACTGGTGCGATGCGTATGATGATCGCCACCGGGGTGACAAAGGCGGCCGGGCGCGGGATGTTTTGCCACCAACCCCCTCGTGTGCCTTGCCAGCCTACTTACCGGCAGCACTTGCCCCAACGGTCGGTAAGGGCTACGCGGGGGACCTTTATCTCGTTTTGTGCACGTGCACGCAAGCCCCCCCCCCCCCCCCCCCCCCGTGTTTCTCCATGTACCGCCCGCCGCGCACAGATGTCGAGCGAGCTCCCGGGGGGGTCTCATTTCGATTAGCAGAGCTCAGGCTCGTCAACTCGGCCTCTAGACGTGTAAAACGTCAACAGTGGGGAGACAAAGGCGGCCGGGCGTGGTGGGTGTTGACCACTGCTGCCCCCCCCCCCCGCCCCACCGAGACTACCACGTCGGCTTTCCCAGGTGCTGCTACTCGCTAACAGCACTCAGCCCAAGGGTCTGCTGGAGGCTCTACGGGTCGGGCGGGCGGGCGGGGTGAGAGATCTTCGCGTGCCGTGTAACGGGAGCTACATTAGTGGCGTTCGCATTGATCGCTCACCTCTCCGACGCGTTTCATATATCCGAATTAGGGTTCGTTACTTCGTTATCCTCCCCCCCCCCTCTGTGGACGGCGTGCGAGTTAGTGGCAGGATGGGGGGTGCGCGACTTGGAGGTTGGGAATAGAAGGAGAGGCGGTATCGTGATGGGTGGGACACGTGGTGTGCAGGGTGGAGTAGGAGGATGGGGGTTAAGCGACTTGGAGGTTGGGAATAGGAAGAGGAGGAGGTACAGTGAAGATGGGTGGGACACATGAACTGGAGGGAGGAGGAGGCCAAGTCACCGATACGAGCGTGGGAGTGGCACCCAGAGGTTGTCCACCAAGGGGAAGAGCTAATAGATGTGGTTGTTGACGATGATGATGGCTGTACGAGCAGTCCTTGAAGGACGTGTTGGCTGTGTAACAAGGGGAACACGTAAAGCCGGATAGTGGTCGTGGTGGTGATTCCGTGAGATCGGACCTTGGAGGTCAGTGGTGAACTTGAACTCTGCAGAACTTGAGAGGCTATCAGGACGAAGGAAGCGATTGTGTTGATGATAATATCTTAACCTTGGCTTGTGTCTCCCCCGTGTCTACCCAATGTCTCCCCGTGTCTACCCAATGTCTCCCCGTGTCTACCCAATGTCTCCCCGTGTCTCCCCCGTGTCTCCCCGTGTCTCCCCCGCGTCTCCCCCGTGTCTCCCCGTGTCTCCCCCACGTCTCCTCCGTTGTCTCCCCTGCGTCTCCCCCGTGTCTCCCCCGTGTCTCCCCCGCGTCTCCCCGTGTCTCCTCCGTTGTCTCCCCCGTGTCTCCCCGTGTCTCCTCCGTTGTCTCCCCCGTGTCTCCCCCGCGTCTCCCCGGCGGCCTGCAGACACGAGCCAGTACCCCGTGTTCCTGGGCCCCAGACCAAAGAACGAGACGCGGCGACACAAGCTCAGCTTCCAGATGATGGTGATTACCAACTCCACCCTCTTCATCGCCGCCAGGTAGGTCGACGCGATCACCGCCACTACACCCCCCCCCCCCCCCCGCAACACACTTTGCATTTCCTCCCATCAAAGTTGACACCACCGTGTCCGTTGGGGACGGGGCAGCAGCTGTGGCAGCTGTCTCCCTTCCACCGGCGAGAGCAGCAATCCTGAGGAAAAACTCGGGACAGGTGGCAAGCATACTCCCCAGGCCCTCCCTACCCCCCACCGAGCCTGATGGCCAACCCGAGAAGGTGCACCTTGGCTGGGCAGGAATCTAGGCGAGGTTGGGCGGGGGTGGGGGGTGTAGCGTTGTTGGCCAGTAAGAAAGGAATTCTGTGTAAACGTTGTTTTCTAATACAGAGGGCTTCTCGCGCCTTGCCCTTCGCGCCCACTATATCCCCCCCCCCTCCCCCAATGTGTGCAGACACTACTGGCTTGTACCTCAAAGTTCATGAGACATTTTTTTTTTATTTCGCCCTCCAACCATGGCCGCATCTAGCACAACTCTAAATAAATGCTCATGAAATGTAAAATTACGTATTTCGTGATAATGGATGAAACGATCATTGATGAAACAATAATTATATTGATCATAGTGGTTTCGGAAGGCTCTTGTAGTTTCATTGACGGGCAAACTGACAAATGGAATGCCGGGATGTCATAATAGATATGGCGGTGCTTGTGTAGGCCTCTATCCAACAGTGTATTGAACATGACGGCTGACGACGGTGAGATGGTGGATGCACGGGTGGGTTGTGTGTTAGTCTTTCAGGGACTGACTCCTGCCATAAGACTGTTCACCAATACCAGGGCTGGACGGGTGGGAAGTGCTGCCCACTGATGTGTGGACCAGAGGCCCCAGCAGTAGCTCTGTGATATCCGCTTCCTCGGGCTGTTCAGCGTGTGAATCAGAGAGTCACTTGCAGTAGAAGAGATCTCAGAGGTAATTCTGTGATATCCGCTTCTTCGGGCTGTTCAGCGTGTGAATCAGAGCATCACTTGCAGTAGAAGGGATCTCAGAGATAATTCTGTGATATCCGCTTCCTCGGGCTGTTCAGCGTGTGAATAAGAGAGTCACTTGCAGTAGAAGAGATCTCAGAGGTAATTCTGTGATATCCGCTTCTTCGGGCTGTTCAGCGTGTGAATCAGAGCATCACTTGCAGTAGAAGGGATCTCAGAGATAATTCTGTGATATCCGCTTCCGCGGGCTGTTCTGCGTGTGAACCAGAGCATCACTTGCAGTAGAAGGGATCTCAGAGATAATTCTGTGATATCCGCTTCCGCGGGCTGTTCTGCGTGTGAATCAGAGCATCACTTGCAGTAGAAGGGATCTCAGAGATAATTCTGTGATATCCGCTTCCGCGGGCTGTTCTGCGTGTGAACCAGAGCATCACTTGCAGTAGAAGAGATCTCAGAGGTAATCCTGTGATATCCGCTTCCTCGGGCCGTTCTGCGTGTGAACCAGAGCGTCACTTGCAGTAGAAGAGATCTCAGAGGTAATTCTGTGATATCCGCTTCCGCGGGCTGTTCTGCGTGTGAACCAGAGCATCACTTGCAGTAGAAGAGATCTCAGAGATAATTCTGTGATATCCGCTTCCTCGGGCCGTTCTGCGCGTGAACCAGAGCGTCACTTGCAGTAGAAGAGATCTCAGAGGTAATTCTGTGATATCCGCTTCCGCGGGCTGTTCTGCGTGTGAATCAGAGCATCACTTGCAGTAGAAGGGATCTCAGAGGTAATTCTGTGATATCCGCTTCCTCGGGCTGTTCTGCGTGTGAACCAGAGCGTCACTTGCAGTAGAAGGGATCTCAGAGGTAATTCTGTGATATCCGCTTCCGCGGGCTGTTCTGCGTGTGAACCAGAGCGTCACTTGCAGTAGAAGAGATCTCAGAGGTAATTCTGTGATATCCGCTTCCTCGGGCTGTTCTGCGTGTGAACCAGAGCGTCACTTGCAGTAGAAGGGATCTCAGAGGTAATTCTGTGATATCCGCTTTGACGGGCCCTCCTCTAACATCAAGCATGGGCTCCGCAACTGGTCTGGGAGATTTCCGAACGGCTCCTTCATCTCGTGACGCCGCGGCGAACATGAATTTCCAAACGTGGAACTTCCACCGGATTCTCAGTGGTGAGCACAAAGACAAAGATCCCCCGTGTCGCCTGGAACACGGCCGGTCATTTGGTAGCTTTTGCGAGCAAGAAGATGACCACAAAGCGGATGGTTGCGCTGCCCTTTGCTGCTCATATCTGGTGGCTAGGAGATGTTAATTACCTCGCCTGGTGTACAGGAGTTAAGGGTTCGATCCCGACCCTGATGATGCCTGTATATTTGGAGTTTGCATGTTCTCTCTCTCTCTCTCGCCCGTGGTCGTGTGGATTTTTCTTCCGATCCTCCGGTTTTTCCCCTCCACATTTAGAATCAGCATCACGCGTTTACAGTATTTGGCTCCTATAAATGTGCACGTGATAAGCCACTTGGTTGAGCTATCATTTGTGACCAATTCGCTTCTGTAAAAGAGCTACATAGCTCAGTGGGCCTTACCTGGTAAAAAAAAATGTTTTCCAGTTGTTGGTACTCCGCTTGTGCCGCTGCGGGTCGTTTCCGCACGATGTCCGACGTTTTGGCGCCGCGTGCCTCTGAGGAACGGGACGTAAGAGGGGCTGTGATGATGTTTATTTCGCTGGGGTAGCACGATGCCAAATCGTAAGTCTGAAACGTGAAACTCCGGCCCATGGAAATGAAAATATAGTTTGCCCGCATAGATATTGCTCATCGTAAATCTCCGTATGCAAATTGTGGGGGGAGGGGGGAGGTGAGTGTAAAAGTCTTCCCTGTAAACAACGGGAGAGTGAATCGAAATTGTTCCCTGTTCTCGCCCCATTTCATAAACAACCCCCGTTATTCAAATTGACCGCTTGCGTGAAGGCTGGTTTAGTGAGGGCCCTGTTAACCGACGCACGCACACAGCCCGTGCCGGCAAGGCAGTCGCCGGTGCAAGTGCCGATGAAGAAAGTCGACGCGGCACACGAGGGGTGGGTGGGTGGACAGCACCACGCCCGGCCGCCTTTGTCTCCCCAGTGGCGATGTTTTTTTTTATCCTGGTACTACTACTACACACACGCAAATCCGCGCAGGTGAAGCGATTGCAGATCTGAGCCTTGAAGCGGTGGAGCGTGCACATTCGAGATCCCAATCGAGTGTTTGGGGTGCACCGTGTGAGCACGCAGGGATGGTGTGAGCCCGCAGGGATGGTGTGAGCCCGCGTGTGTCTGTGTGTGTGTCTGTGTGTTATTGTAGAGTGTCTGTCTGTGTGTGTCTGTCTGTGTGTGTTATTGTAGAGTGTATGTGTGTCTGTGTGTTGTTGTAGTGTGTCTGTGTGTTATTGTAAAGTGTATGTGTGTGTGTCTCTGTCTGTCTGTGTTATTGTAGTGTGTCTGTACGCACTGCGCTATGAACCTGGCGACCCGGGTTCGATTCACGCTCACGACCAACGCCAGTGACGATTATCTGAACCTGTCGTGGGCCTCCCCTAGGTCGACTCAGCCTAAAATGAGTACCTGGTGCGGTGTGTAAACATCGTTACTGGGGAGACAAAGGCGGCCGGTCGTGGTGTTGACCACCCCCCCTCCACTCGTGTGCTGTGTTGGCCTTCATAGATTGCTGCTCGCTAACAGCACTTGCCCCAACAGTCTGTTAAAGTTGGACTGGGGATCTTTGTCCTTGTTTTGTGTTTAAACATTCCAGATCCCAAGCGAGGTGATGCAGCGATGGTGGACCCGCGTGTGTGTTTTTGTGCGCGCGTGTGTGTGTCTGCGACCACGGGGAGAGAGAGAGAGAGACCTAAACTCCACATGTACAGGGTCAGCTGATTCGACCTCGTGGAGACCCTGGACGGGTTGAAATATCGCTTACTGATGTTGGTCGTGCCACGGATGAGAGTGGTGCTGGAACGGCGTTAGAGCTTCCGGCGTTACTGCAGCAGCAAAAAAAAAACACCACCACGGGGGCCGTTCGAGAATGTAAAAGAATGCATTGGAGTTTAAGACTCCACATGATTGTCCTTTACCCCACCAACCCACCCACCCACATCTCCTCCCCACCCACCCACCCACATCTCCTCCCCACTGCTCACACCCCCTTTGGGGTTAAGTGTCAGGAATTGCATGGGCCCTGATTTAAAGGTTAGCTCAATTGATGCCGGGGATGTGAGGAATGGGCAGTGGCAACCATAGCAGCGGGGACGGAGAGAACGGGAAGAGCTACGGCCGTCTGGAGGCTGTTGTAATGCATGAGCAAACACAAGCGCCATTTAACTCATTAGGTGCTATTTGCTCTCCCTGTGTGGCCTTGCTGTGTGTCAGTGTCTGTGTGTGAGTGTGTGTGGGGAGCGGTAGTGTAGCGGTTAGCGCTACGCTGCGCTACGAACTTGGCAACCCGGGTTCGATTCCCGCTGATGGCAAAAACACCTAGTGACGATTATCTGAACCGGTGCTGGGCCTCCCCTGGGTCGACTCAGCCTCAAATTAGTACCTGGTGCGATGTGTAAACATCGTCACGAGGGAGACAAAGGCGGTCGGGCGTGGTGTTGGCCACCCACCCCCTCGCGTGTTGTGCCGGCCTTTATAGGTGCTCGCTAACAGCACTTGCCCTAACAGTCCGTTAAGGCTATACGGGGGATCTTTGTCTTTATGTGTGTGTGTGGGGAGCGGTAGTGTAGCGGTTAGCGCTACGCTGCGCTACGAACCTGGCGACCCGGGTTCGATTCCCGCTCACGGCCAACACCCAGTGACGATTATCCAGAACCGGTCCTGGACCTCCTCTATGTCGACTCAGCCTTAAAACTGCACTTGCCCCAACAGTCGGATAAAGGCTAAACCTGGGGGTGGGGGGTGGGAGTAACATTTGCTTGTATCTTTGCACGCGTGGGAAATACATTCGAGTGTTCTTTGGCATCTGTTAAATCAAACACGCTCCTATTAGGATCAGCACTCACGCAGCGGAGATCTTATATTATTTTTA